CCCTGTGCTTTGGCTTCTCTGCGCTCCAGTGCAATTTTCAGAGTCTCTTCTGACATCCATTTTGGTCTTTTCTTCCTCTTCTGTCTTTGCAATGACTGTTTGTACTCTTCCTGGATGATAATCTGGCCTTCGCTCATTAGTGTTCAAAGCCTCAAACCTGTAGCATCCAATAAAAAATGTAATGTGAGTTACATTACATATGAAATTCATTTTAACAGTTTTTCAACAGTTTATGATTTTAAAAATCGTTAGTACTTTTTTACAGATTGTTTTATACTAAGCTTTAAAAAAATCTAATATGTATTTACTACTATAGCACAGGCCAATTTTTGATAGAAATGCTCAAACACGTGTGGCCACTGTATTGGATAGTACAACTAATTTCAAGAAGGTGAATTAAACAAGTGTTTGAAAAACACAAGAATACGATCTCTTTTTTTTTTCCAGATGGACAATCAAGGTTTGTGAATGCTAAAAACATTAAAATCTATTTATTAACATTTTTATTGTGATTTTAACAAAAGTGTACCAAAAAGTTGGATATTCAACATTGCACATTTTCCTCCCCTTCTTTATTAACAGTGTTTATATTTAAGCAAAAGGGTTACCTGAATATTTATACTCTAACACAACTTTAAGCCCCCTGGGTGGTGCAGATAATTAAATGCTTGACTAATAGCCAAATAGTATGGGTTTTGGTGTTTGTTTTTATTTTGGTATTACTTGATTTTATTTTACATTAGGTGGTGGGTAGTATGGGGGTTTTTGGTAAGGAGTTGTACTGCCAATGCAAAAGTGTATAATATAAGTAATTTATAGTTTCTGAAATCCTGTTGGAGGATCAGCTATGAGTCATTTCCGACTTAATATTTAGCAACATAATTTAAATCCAGTGGTTTTATATTTTGAAGTTTATCCCTTAGAAATAACATGAACAAACTTATAATAACATATAAAACAGTCTTAAGTTTGTCATTGATAGGATCTTAAAATTTGAGTTGAGATAGTATAAATGCTAAGAATGAGAACATTGATTAAATTATAAATAATTGACACAATAGGATACTCTGTAATCATGCGAAAGAATAGATTATGGTAAATTGTTCAGTGTTTTAGAGATATTACAATCCCATTTCAGTATTAAAATAGTTATCAAGTTTATATTTGTTTGTACATGGAAAATGTTAAGTTATTGTTGTGTACTGCCAAATTAGAACCAACCCATAGCTGACACTTCAGTGAGTTTTTAGAGACAGTTAATTGTATTGGAGGAGATAGTCCATCCTTCTCCCACAGAGCAGCTAGTGGATTCAGACCACATGCCTTTAGATTGATAGCTCAACTCCTTACCCTAAGCCACCAGAACTACGCTTTTATGGAAAATAAAATTTCTACAGAAAATGCTACAGCCAAATTAGTAGTTACAGTTGTTAATGATTACTTCCAAAGGATGGAAATAACAAAGACTTTCAAGTTCTCCATACATTTCTGTTGATTTAAAAAATGAAGATCATATTTTTATAACTAGTAAATGACAACACATTCTTAAGCATGATCCACAGATATTTTTGCATCATAATAATAATAATGGAAAACTGAAGACAGTTGAATGGATATTCATAAACATCCATTCATGGCACGTACTTTGCAGTGTACTTGTAATGCTAGGTAAAATAAAGGAACAAAAGAGAGAATGCAAACTTGTGATGCTGTAACAGGATCAGTGTAAAACTAACAACTAATCAGAATGTTGACAGTAACTGATAAATGAAGGGACTGTCCATTTTTTGTGTGTTATTATTTTTCAAATTTTCTAAATAAATCTCTACTTTTTCTGTTGTAACAAAAAAGGTTTAGGATTTAATTTAAGGATTAGTATATCAAGAGTACAAGTATTCTTGTTAGGGGCCATGATATAAATTATTCTGTTGAATTAGTATTATTTACAATGTGCTATTATCAGACTTTCCTCCTATAGCATTAATGAAAAAGGAGAAAATCTGTTTGTAAGCAGTAAATACCTATGAATTGTCTATCCCCTCCTCTAATCTGGAGCCAAATGTTCTTTGATTAGTTCTGGAGTTTTTGAGTGCAGAAAATGTGTTTCCATTTCTAAGTTAATAGTTACTAATACTGTTGCCTGTTTGTTTCCTGCTTTATTTAGGTTTCATGTCCTTAACAAGCTGCTGAGCTTCATGGCACCTATTGACCATACCACAATGAATGATGATGCCAGGTGAGTAATAGATTAATTATATGTCTCAAATGGCTTCATGACAGCCTGATATTGACCTGTTCTACAGCGTGTCACTGTCTCCATTTTTTTCTTATCAGTTAATCATTTGTCATTGGCATCATAGCAAGGGTCCCTGTTACAACTTTTCCCTCCCATAATTACTAGAAAACCTAACCAAAATTTTCAGTAAGTCTCTATGCTGTCTTGGTAAGTTTTTGTTTGATGTTCTTTTATTTTATTTTTAAATTTAGTTGATCTGCCTAGAACACATACTTCCTCTGTACAACAAAGGGGTCACTGCAACAAACAAAATTGCTGTATAAATTTGGGGGTTTTAGACTTATGTTTACCCTTTTAAAATGACCTTTATTTTTTAGAATCTTACTAACTCACTCACATACAATTTTTGAAAAGCTACTATATTAGATATGAGAATTTTATTTGAAAATGATTATACTTGGGATTATTTAGGTTTGTGCTGTACTTGGGCTGTTGTTGTTTATACCATTGAGTCACCTGCAACTCATAGTGACCCTGTGCACAATAGCTCTGAACTCTGCCATATCCTGAGCTAGTCTCATTGTCTTAGACACACCTACCCCCTTGCCCCAGTTACTGTGTCAATCTACCTCATCTGGGGTCTTACTCTCCTGCAGTGTCCCTCAACATGTCCAGGCCTAATGTCCTTCTCCAGAAACTGGTCCCTTCTGGCCACATATCCAGAGTATGTGAGATGGAGCTTCAGAATCCTTACCTCCAAGGAGCTCCCTGGTTTCACTCTCTCTAGGACCGACCTGTTTGTTCTATTGATGGTCCATGGTATATACAGTACTCTTCTCTAGCACCACAACTCAAAGACATCAATTTTTCTTCTGTCATCCCTAGTCATTGTCCACCTCTCTGATGTATAGCAAGTAATTGTGCAGACAGTGGCCTAAATCAGGTACACCTTAGTCTCTAGACTGGCATTATTGCTCTTTAGCACTTTGGAGAGGTCCTTGATGGCAGATTTCCCCAGAGCAGTTTGTCTTTTGATTTCTTGACTGCTGATGCCAAGAGTGTTGATTTTGAATCCAAGCAACCTCAGTCTCTTCTCCCTCTATCATGGGTGCTGCCAGTTGGTCCAGTGGTGAGAATCTTTGTCTTCTTGATATTGAAATTAAAAAACCCAACTACAGAGACATTAATAAAGAAAGTTTTCTCTTTTTTTGGCAGAATAAATTCTAGGAAAATTAGGCAGATGTTGGCAGTGGTATTACTTTTCCACCATGTTAGGGCCAGTATCTCTTGGCTTATCCCACATGGTGCCAAGACAGCTGAAGCTACATCAGCCATGAAGCTAGTGTTTAAGATAGGAAGAGAAAGGAAGAGTCCAGCCATGCCAGTTCTTTTTCTCAGATGTCCAGTTGCTGATGATTAGCATCGATCTCCATCTACGTTAGTCACTTAACACGTTGCCGCAAATGACGGCAAAATGTGTTTCTAAGCACCGTCGTCAATTTAAAAGTGTGCAGCAACTTGTTAACAAGCAAGTCTTGTAGCTGGAGAACTGAGTATACAGAGTGTACTGAATTTCCATTATATTACCTAAAGACACAGAAGTAGACATCCACCTTACTGCTTATGCTCCATAGTCTGGGTAGTCTCAAGTAATACATGGGTAGGATAGTTTCATGTTAGCATTCTCTACCTCTGGGGTGCACTGATGGCTTAGTCAGTAAGGAGGTTTGCTACTAACTCAAAGACTGTGCCTTACTGGTAATTAGAATCCATCAGTAGCTCAGTGGAAAAAAGATGGGCAGTGTCCTCTCACTCAGTTTACAGCTTCAAAAAAAACTGGAAGGCCAGATACAAGTCGGTTCTGGCTTAACTACATTGAGTATTTTCTGCCCCTAATACCAAAATGTATAGTTCAATTAGCTTTGTTACTTGTCTTAAGTTAGAAAGAGGTAGTAAGTAGTAGATTGGCCTGCTTTGCTTTCGAGATTCTGAAGCTAGCAATAGTCAATTACTGCACTGTTTTTGTTTCTCATCTTAACATAGTACAAAGCATCATCATTGAGGAATGGGAAACGTTCATAATTATTAAAATATCAGTACCACTGCATACTACTTTTCCTCAAAAAAGATACTAACTTAGAGACGGATCATACTAGGGGATGGAAATGGGTAAGAGAATACATTTATGATTTTGGAGTAGAGAAGGCCTTTATAATCATGACACCAAGGACAGAAATCATACCATTATATGTTTCACATAAATGTCACATTAACATCTAAAATAAAATTAGTAATAAATTATAAATTGGACAATCAAGAGTTTACTATGGAATATTGTGTTTCTATGTGAAGAGTTTTTAAAGATTTCTAATCTCAATAGAAGACTAGGCAAAGCATGTTAGTAAGTAAACTGAAAGATAAGAAAAATTTCAAAGGCCAGAAGACAAAGACTTCACTTAATTTGCTGTTGTAGTTGTTGGTATTTCATTAATCAGAGAAATAGTGGATATTAAAACATTATAAGTTTTTCCCTCTTAAATGTGAAACCATAAAAAGGCTAGTAGTCCTCAGTGTTTATAATGGTATGAGAGAACAGACACATTGGCATGGTATGGTTGGGAATGTAAAATTGGTAAAAATTTTTTGCATGGCAATTTGCCAGTGCTTTTTTAAATGTTCAAGGTATATTAATCTGTTGATCCAGAAATTCCACTTATAGGAATTTAAACCTAAGAAAATGAACACTAACAGTGAGTGTTTAATTAGCACTTATAATGAAACTGGTTACCAGTGACTTAACATGTTGCTGCAAATGGTGGCAAATGTGTTTCTAAGCACGGTTGTCAATTCTAAAAGTATGGGGCATCCTGTTAAAAGGAGCCTTAGGTCAGCGATTGAAAACCCTAGCCACTGTAGTAGAGAAAAATACCTTATGATCCTGTAGAGATTATAGCCTAGAAAACCCATCAGGCAGTTACATACATGGTTGCTGTCTGTGGGAATCAACAGTACACAGCATCAGTTACACTCATAGATGAGGAAATGTAGTGGAGGTGGTGTGAAGAGAGACTTCAGGTGTTTTAATTTTTTATAATGCTTTTTGACTTTACTATTTTGCCGTGAAAGTGGATTCAGATTATTGTTGTTGTTAGGTGCCCTCTCATGGCTCACCCTACAACAGGTTTTCAGAGACTAAATCGCATGGGAGAAGATAGTCCATCTTTGTCTCTTGAAGCAATAGCTCATGCATTCAAACCTCTTGTCTTTGGATTTGCTGGAACTCCTTACCTACTGGACCACCAGAGCTTAAATTAGTTGTCACAAAAAATAAGAAGCTCTAGAACCAGATATGCCAAATTGTCCATGTGTCTTATTGCTGGATCGAGTGGAGTAGAAGGCATATCTCACAGTTACTTGCATATCACTGAGAAAAACTGTGTTTAGAATTTTTTTTACAGTAAGCTTTTGTTATTGTTTACTTTCTGACAGCATAAAAAATGGAAATATTTTAATTGTCAATATTATTTATAACTCTGTGTGTATGCGCACACCATGTGTGCCCTGGAATCCTCTTACACTGAGAGGTGATGAAGTAAACATACAGATACTCTCCTAATGGTTTTAACAAGACTTGGCGGTTATGGAAATAACTGACTCAATTTTTGTCTGTGGATTTTTGCTAGACCCTCTGATTCTTCTTTTGTATTAAAGTAGGCCAAATATTAAAATCCTAGTATGAAAAGGAGAAGACAGAATACCAGTAAGACCTTTGCAAGAGATAAAGATGTGTTTCTTAAAATTGACCATTACTTTCATTTGAGAAAGGAAACCGGTAGGAGCTGCTTACTCTATAGGAAGGTTTGATGCCCAAATGGAAGGGTTCTGTGCTTTAAAAGCAGTGAGTTTTGTCATTTCTTAGGTAGCTCTCTTTTCTTACTACAAAAATAGATAGTAGCAGTATTAATGTTTTATAGGTACTCCATTGGTTTGTAAAAACTTAAATTTTCCACAGGAACAAAAAGAATTTCAGCTCCTTGTTTTCCGTCCTCCCCTCCAAAATAAAAACACTTTCCTTATTCCTTTTATGAAACTGCTGACATTAAAAAAGAACAAGGAGATGATCCTTTAATGCTAAGTACTAAGCACCAAATACATTATTGTTTTACATCTGGAGTTTTAGAAAAGAAATGTACAAATGTAATCCAGTCTTGTAAAGTGCTTTGTCAACATCACTGCCACGTTGTTCTTGAGGTGCCTTGGTATAATAGAATTTGTACAGGCAATTTATCTTCAGCTTGCCATTTTTGTGTGTGGGTCTGCACCCTAAATATGGGCATATTCTCCCTCTCTACTGACAATGTTCTTTTCCCCAGAATTTAAGTAAACCAGAGATTCCTTAAATTATTTTTACTCCTTTGCATTCTTCCCCCTTTTATTTAGTAAAGAATGTGCATTGAGTCATGGTGAAATGTCCCTGATACTTGCTCAACATTTAAGAGTGCATTATCTAAGAGTCCACAATTAAGGTTGTATAGTGGAATGTACTTGGGGCGGTGGGAGGAGTGCAGGGGGATTGTGTACCAGGGAGGGAGTGTTTCTTCTACTTTTCAAAGAGAGGAGCGAACTGCAGGGAGGCGGGGGAGGGCTAGGCGGAGAGAGAAGTGCAGCAAAGAATGAATGGAAATCCAAAATCTCTGTAAATGTTCATTAAAATTATTAAAATAAAATTTTTTTAAAAGTGCATTATCTAATAACCCCAAAAGTACCTTCCAAAGAGCATTTTCAGTGTGTTGAAAACTTACAAGCAAGAATGGCTAAGATACAGATGTTTTCTCTGAGGCTTCTTATCTCCTAAGAAGACACGGGTTATTGTGACAGGAGAAACAAGTCTGGGCAAATATGCAACATTGATCTAATCAGCAGGAACAAGAGCAATATTTTAACTGGTGCTACCTTTTACCAGCATCATTAAAGGCTCCCATTACTCTTTTATTAGAGGT